AAACAAAGCAAACGAGTTTACATGGCGCGGACGCAAAAGCATGCTTATGTTTAATTTATATGTCGGTCATAGCCGTTGTGGCAAATGTGGCAAAAATGTGGCAAATGTAACACTTACTTATTGCACACTTGACTAAACCTGATCTCTCACAAACGATCACAACTCCTATGCTTACTCACTAGCTCAACCTGTATCATGGCTCAACGTAAACAAACCTAGTCGAAGACGTTCGTAGTTCGTTCGGGAGCAGCTCGGTGTTCGGGAGTCCCCGAGTCCCCACTTCCGAAGTAGAATCGCATTCATATTGGTATTCATATTCAGTTTAGATTCTAGAGCGACGGAAGATAAAAATAAATTTGAGATTGATACGGGACACCTGAGACAGGAGCCTTATCATGATTTTATCTCTCACATAGATTTTCTTCCCTGAAACGTTTTTGAGAGCATACTCAGTTTTTAAAACTTTCTGCCCAAAGAAAAGGTATCTTTCTCAGTTGGCGACACTGCACTGTGTCAACAACAACAATAAACAACAACAAAGTAAACAGGACGACACGGCGGCAGCAGACGCATGACACATCTCAGCTGACAGCACAAAGTACCGGCGGCCAGGAGGTCCTGCAGTCTGTCGTTTTTCCAAAGAAAACACTGCGATGGCCGAGGGACTCGTCGAGGGCGACATGGACGCGGAGCTCGCGGCACTCACCATGGACGGCTCGCTCTGCTCGGACCTGTCCTCCCTCGGAGACGTCGAGCCCCGCGAGTACCACGGCGGCGACGGGGCGTCCTGCGCGCCGATGTCCACCCTGGCCGAGGTCTGGCAGTGGCGAAGGGAGCCCTGGGCGAGCTTGGCCACTGGCCTATCCCCCAGGTCAGCCTTGGTGCTGCCCGGCAACAGAGTGCACTGCTCGGAGGGCGTGCAGCCCAGGGTGCACCGGGACTCGGTGCCCAAGACCCTGTTCTGCCACGATCTGAAAGGAGGTTACTTAGAGGATAAGTGAGCACCAAGCTGATTTCTCTCTTTCATAACATTCCTCTTTGTTACAATGGGCTGTTGGGACGCGCCTGTCAGTAGAAATCCTAATGACGCTATGTTTCTATTGTAACGCAGGTTTGTCAATGGTTCTGGAGTCCATGGAGAGTACCGCTTTTTTCACTGGTCTGGTATAGATACATTTATTTACTTCAGTCATCATCTTTTGACTGTACCGCCTCTTTCATGGATCAACTCAGGACACCTCCATGGTGTGCCGGTACTAGGTAAAATAATGTATTCTGATAAATTTGTCAAGATTCTTTTTGCCTGTTTCATTTCCTTCATCGTTTAAATTTCAGGAACTCTGATAACTGAGGGTCAAGATGGTGCTAAGGTATGGGAGGATGTGTTTGTGGACCTCCCCACGACAATTCGGTTTGCCGACACATTGGCTGCTATTTGCAGATACTATCGCTTTGACGGATACCTCCTCAATGTTGAAAACGAAATACCTCAGGAAAACGTCCCAAAGTTGATAAGATTTGTGTCAGAATTGAGAGCCAGCCTACTCCGAATTGGCCTGAAGCAGGCTCAAGTGATTTGGTATGACAGTGTCACTTGCAAAGGCAAACTGATTTGGCAAAATGAACTTAATAAGAGAAACAAGTAAGGACTGGAATTTATGTGTTTATTGTTCAGAACACTGGTTTGTAATCTTTATCTGACTATAATTCTACTATCTTGAACCTTTGTCTTTTGTTATAAAGGTGCTTTTTTGATTTATGTGATGGAATATTCCTGAATTATACCTGGACAAAAAGTCATCTAGAGCGTTCGCTTAAAGCAGCTGGGGCACGATGCCTAGATGTTTACGTCGGAGTTGATGTCTTTGGCAGAAATTGTTTTGGTGGGGGTGGATTTGATTCAGACAAGGTACAAAATTTGCTATATAAAAAAAAATTAAACTCCGAATGCACATGTTTAAACATAAATTCTCTCTCTAGGCAGTATCTGTGATAAGATCTGTAGGCCTCTCTGTAGCTTTGTTTGCTGCAAGCTGGACCCATGAACGTTTGGACAGAAGGAACTTCACATATCTTGAATATCTATTTTGGCAAAAATTATGGCCTTACTTATATGTGCATGGGCCCATCAAGCTTCCATTTTCAACATCTTTTTGCCAAGGTTATGGAATAAACATTCATAAAAATGGGGAGGTATGTGTTGCACCACTTATAGAAAATTCAAAATTACAATATTGTAATAAACAAATTGGAAGAATTATGTGCCTTTTTAAAATTCCATGATAAAGGTGTACTCTTCTGGACCCTGGTACAATCTCCGAAAGCAACAATACCAGCCATGCACTCCATCAATGCTGGAACAACAGCGTATTTATGGATCTCATGTGAAAAACCCAGGCTCCTCCCAAGCTGATTCTAATGCAATTCCTAGTGATATAGTTGCAGCTGGTAGTGGCCCTCCTTGCCTCAAAGATGAAGATAGTTTCTCTATTTCAACACAGCTTGGGCAAGGGTATGTTGCTCATGAGAATCAAGATGCATTCTATGGAGGAAGCTGTTTGAAAATAGGAGGAAGAGGATGTTACAGTATGAAAAGGTGATTTGGTTGTTTTTCTTGTAAATTTTTAAATACTTTATGCATAACTCAGTTGGTAAAGCCCTTTTCCATCTTACATGTGAAGAATGCTAATATGTGGATTTAGAAGTGCTGGAATTCTGGTTGTGTCTGTTGCAACTAAAGTTACCTCACCAACTGTCATCACTCTTCCTGCCCTCAATATTTTGATGTTAGTTCAGGACAGGGATGGGTGCTATAGGTATGTTTTTTTTTTTTAGTTAATTAATATTAAGTTGTCCGCTTTACTTAATGCTAATTTTTCTTTCCTTTTTTCTGATAATTACAGTAAACATGTTCTAGTCGGAGCTGAACAAGGTGGAGAAGAAGGGTATGAAAATGAATGTGCTGTTCATCTACATCGGCCCCTGATGGAAGGAGAACTGGCACAGATTCGCAGTTCTGCTGTTGAACAATGCACCCAAAAACAACTGAATATAGAGGGATCTAACGGGTGGGAAGTCAGGTATGATGAATAACAAGTGTTTCTTTTAATTTTGATCTTGGCTTAAAATTCGAAATGAGGCTAATCTAATCTAATGAATTTTCAGACATTTTTCAGTTGAGGTGTTTGGTGTTGTTCTTGAGATGGGAGCTGAGGTCAGTAGCCCTGACGAGGCTGTTTATCTGGGATGGTTGGCAATCAGCCGCTTAGATGGTTATTAATCTGTCATTCAATAACATTCAATGATATATAATTGAGATTAAACCTAACAATGAAATAATGAGATTTTTTATAACAGTTTTATTATCCATTATGTTTATAGGAATTTGATATCTGTGATAACACATTTAGCTTAAAAAGAGTTCTTGTAGCAAACAACATAATAAGTGTAAAGCCAGAAAATTAACGTGTGCTACATATTATAGTTTATTGGACTTGTTACTCGTAACATCTGATGAAAAATAGTTGATGTGACCTGTAGGGTAAATAATACCTGTGTAGTGTGTACCAAGTTACCAATTGTGATATATTCTGAATTTTTAAAAATGATCCTTGCTTTTTCTGAGATTCTTGGAATTATCTGTGAAATTGCCTGTATTTGTGTAACTACTGTGTGTATGTGTGATCAGAAGTAATCAATATTGCTACATTAAATAAATAAATGTGCTTTACAACTAAGAGTTATGACTCGATGGGACACCCCCCCCCCCTTTTCCCCTTTTCCCCCAGGTCTCCGTAACTCCCACTCCCATTTGGAGCTGGAGACGTCGAATGGGTTGCCTACCTGAGAGGCGCGTAACCGCGTTTGCAAGACAAACCTACCGGCTGCAGCTAAAGAGCGTCGCAGCTCGCTCCACAGACTACTCTCAGTTCAGCCTGGTTCAGCCTCAGCAGCATGCCAGTTAGGCTTAAGCATTACCCCTGCGTCAGACAATCTCGGCCACAGCCGGGAACAACAATCCAAGGTATTACACACATAAGATACGTGAACAGTTAGAGATTTTACATCAAAACGGACAAAATTTTCGCCCGGATCCTTCTTGTTGCACCATAAAACTATTTAAAAAACTGACAAAACATAAATGAATAAAATTGAAAATTGTCCGAGTGTCTTTTTGTCCATTCTTTGAGTGAGCACACAGAAGGGGTGAGAGGACCCCCTCCCACACACACTTATAGTCAGGAGTGCTAACCGAGCACACCCCAGGGCGTGCTCGTCCACGAAATGTTTTCAAACGTTGGGGTGACACATTTATTTTAAAGCATCTGCATTTTCCTTGGAGAACATGGAGACTAAGATCTGCCTCGGCCTGCCTACAATACACACCCCTTCGGCAGTCGTCGTCCTGTTGCCCCTTCCCGCCATCCACACCACCAGAGGGAGGGGAGGCGAAACACCCTCCACCCTCCACTCCTCGGCGCCGGTGTGTCATTATTTTCTCATCGACAGGCTCGTCGCGTCGGCGAGCGTGGCGGGCGTGGCACGCGTCGTTGGCGGCGTCACTCGTCACGTCGCGCGCGGACGTCACGTTACGTCAGCGGGCCGCGGCGGTTAAGTGTGTTGGCGTTACCGGTATGGAGTACCACCACTTGTAACGCGGACGTGTTGGTGCGGGGTGGACGGCGGCGCACTAGTAGAGTGTGCATTGCACCGAGGTGGACGAGAGGGGGGGGGCGGTAGGGAATGCCAGAGTGTGCACTGCGGCTGTCTGAGAGGCTCGGTTCCTGTTCGCGGTGTCCGCGACCCGCCGCAGGACGCCTTGCTGAGGGGGGGGGGGGCGTGTCATTGATGGCTGCTTGCTTATTGGACCTGCTGCGCCCTCCTCGTCATACTGCCTCCATAACGCGCACGGCGCGGGCCCGACGACTGGATGTGGAGCGGAGATACCGGTTTAGGACTTGCGGACGGACGCGTCGTTCGGCGCCGGACTGCACAATCGCACGTAACTCTTGTGAGACTGCAGCAGCAGCAGCGGCGGCGGCAGCCAGCTCTCTGTAAAGGGGATGAAATACGGACGCGACACTTTGAGGAGGATGCAACAACAACAGGTTGGTGGGGTGGGGTCTTACGCTAAAGTGCAGGTGCTGCAGGTTGGTCCACTCCACACACACATCCCCCGGACAATCGTAGTTCTACTGTATCACATGATGCAGGCGAGCGCACGCGTTGCCCACTCACAACGGTCCGCTCAAGGCGCCGCCGCCGTGGTGACGGGCAAGCCCGCCGGCACGGCTTCATGCGCGGTGCAGTGTGCAGTATATAACTGTGAAATTGTCGGGGGTATGTATGATGTGGGTCATCCTGTGATTCGACTCGGGTACACCAGTGGTCTTCAAAGGTTAAACTTTGCCATGCGTATAGCATGAGGCGCTGGTCTGATAATCGGCGACTGTCCGAGTGGTCCGGCGTGGACACGTTTATCGTCCGCGTCGCCGCAGTTTTTGAACGTGAGCGTACCCGCCCGAGCTTCTGTTTGCCTAGGCCGCGCCACGCCGCCACGCGGGACTCGCTGCCTCGCCGGCTGACTGTGCTGACACCCAGATGTCGCTGTTTGTCTTCTTAAAGGGAAAGTGATAGAGGATCCTGGCGTCCGAGGCGGGGCGGGGCGGGGCCGGCCGCTGGCCGTTGTCGCGCGAGTTGTTGGGGTCGGAACGGTCGGAACCAGCTCCAGCAGACTGGACGGCATGCCCGCCGCCGCGGTCCGCCCCAACACGTAAGCTCGGAACCAGCTTGGATTGGAAGATTTTACGACCCATAGATGCGAGAACCGAGTGTTTTTTCGGGTCAATTATTACGAAACCCATATGAATTAGGCATAATAACCGGTGACAACGTTGTGGTTTTATTTTTTTGGTCGCCCGCGGAGATGGCCGACGCGTTTCTCGCGCGAAATGCTTCCACGTAATAATAAAGTTAAACTGCGCTCGCGTTGTGTCGCCGCTGACCGCAGAGAGCTGCGCGGGGCGCGAATAGAGCTCGCCGGATTAGTGCAAAACCGCGCGAAAGTCCCCCGCCCCCAACCGGCGGCGGCCTCCACGTCCGCGACGACTCCTCTTCCGTCTCCTTCGCTCCCCTATCCTGGTTGGCCGAAGGACCTAGAGGGAAGCACCCCGTGCCGTACGCTACGCTACGCCACGCTACGCCTTGCTCGCTTCCACCGCAGTGGACTTCCACCGCCGCGACATTTTGCCATTTTCATGTTTGTGTCTCGCGCCTCGGGTGAAAAGGAAGGCGCGCGAGCGGCCGTCAGGCAGACGGCAGACGGTCCGGACTGGCGCCTCGAGGACTGTTCGCTCTGAGTTTGGGGTGCTGTCGGCTGTCGGTCCCGGCCGGGTCGTTGCGTCATCACGCACCCAGCGGCGGCGACCCGGCCACTTCCTCAGCCCCAGGACGAGAGTAACCGTCGCGTCGTCCCCCGCCCTGAACCTGGACCCCAGCACGGTCCGCGGTGTGTCTGCCTCTGCCATTGCCGCGTTGTGGAACTTATAGTCTCTCTATGGTCCTACAGGGTGGTCCACA